TGTCATCAGCAAACTTGCTGAGGGTGCAGAAGATTGCAGCAAGTTGAGACCCTCCTGTTCATAGCAGCAGTGAGTCCCCTGCCTGAATTTCATCAGCAGGTTTCTCTCAGCTGTGCTTGAAAGTGTGACTGTTAGCCTGAAAACGTGGAATTTGTCTGGCTGACTGCAGGTGTTCTTAAACACTTCCCACGTCTTGACTAGCTGGCCCTGACATGTCATTTGAGCAATTGCAAAGTGCGTGTATAGCTGTGTAATAAGAAACAAGAGGAATCTAAATCATTCTTAGAGCAGGTAAACAGAATAACTTCTTTTTTCCTGGTATTTCTTTTTTTTTTTTTCCCATGGACCTGAAAAAAAATCTGTATTCTGTGAGCCAAGAGCTATAGAAACAAGGACTACAGAACTCCTCTGAATGCTTGTGGGCACTTGTTGTGGTTTTGTGGGGGGGGTTGTCTGCCAGCAGGGAGGGGCCACAGTAACGGCTCCTGTAAGTCGCTGCTGAAGGTTTCTCAGGACTCCAGCTCTGCTGGCAGCAAGGGAGGGGCTGCAGTGGTGGCCCCTGTAAGTGACTGCTCAGGGTTCAAATGTAGTTTCTCTCTCTCAGTATCTTGCTTCTTGTTGTAAATAGTTAATAAGTTTAATTGGTTTTTTTGTTCTTCCCAAATCGTGTTGGTTTCTTGCCTGTGACCCTAAGTGGTGAGTGAAACCCTCCCTATCCCTGCCACAGCCCACCAGGTGTTTAACAAAAAATTGTCCCTGTGGCTTTATAAACCACGACAGCACTAAAAACCATAACTGACATGCCCATGAATACCCTGCTTCACCCGGGTAGATGACTTTGCTCCAGTGTTGAGTAAGCAAGCCTTCTTAGAGTGCTTCCTTAAGTGATCTCTTGGCCACCGTGTTGTGATAGCAGTCTCTTACATCAAATAGGATATAATTGGTGAAGCACTGTTCGTTTTCCTTGGTAGATTTTCAAACATGGTGTCAAACAGATGCAATTTTTATGAAAGAAAGGGGGCTTGTTTCCTAGACATCTGACTGCAGACTAGCTCTTGGTGAGACAGATTTTTTTTACCTTCTCCATTGAAATTACTTTAATGTGAAGTGTCAGTGTCAGCTATGTCAAGAGTTTACTGCTCAAGTTTTTCCTGTGAAAAATGGAAACCAGTACTATGGACTTGAATCTTACAATGAGGTCTAATGGGCCACTAAGCAAACTTCTGCAGAATACTAAAGTCTCACTACAAATATGTGGTATGTATTTGACCCCTGAAAAGAGTTTTCTGTTTGGGCGTGCACATGGCAAGCCTTCTGCCAACTAGTGTAGTGTCTGTTAGAACGTGTTCTTTTTCTGTTGGGACAATAATTTAAGTGCAGAAAGCATGAGAATTTTCTTGTTTTGTGTTACAGACAATCCTCTCTTTCAAAAATTTATATACTATTGGTTTTTTAGCTACCCATTTCCATAATGAATATCTTTATGGAATGGCTCTTCCAATAAGTTGTTATTCTAAAGCAAACTTTCTTTTTTGACTAATCCAGAGTCTCTTGCAGGTTTTACAGGCAGCTGGTTGACTACAGCTGCTGCAGAACGATGTTTCTAATATGTGTTTTGTCAGAACATCTCGGACATTTCCATAATTTCTTCTACAGATCATCAGACAGTTTGTTCCTTGTTTGATATGTGTTATTGCATGCAGTATAAAAGCATATTGACTCACCTTTCCTGATTCTCAAGGGTCTTTTAAAATATGTAGAGATCTGTGGACTAGTATCAAACCTTTCTGTAGATGTTTTTGTCAAGCTGGAAATAGTATCATAGCTGTCTTGAAGCATACTGTTTTGTCAGTTAAGGCAAAGTACATGTGCTTCAGCAAAGCTTTTGATGCTGTCTCTCCCAGTATCCCTCTGGATAAAATTCTAGACAAGTCCATGATATGTTGGGTGAGCAATTAGCTGATGGGTTGGGCTCAAGGAGTTGTGATAAATGCAGTTACATCAGGCTGGTGGCCAGTCACCAGTGGGGTTCCCTGGGGCTCAGTTTTAGGGCCAGTGCTCTTTAATATTTTTTTTAAATGATCTGGATGCAGGAATAGAGTGTACATTAAGTAAGTTTGCCAACGATACTGAATGAGGAGGAGCTTTGGGCCCTTCAGAGAAATCTGGGCAGACAGAGAACTCAGCCATCACCAACTGTATGAAATTTAACAAGTGCAAGTGCCAAATTCTCCACTTGGGATGGGGTCATCCTGGTTATATGTACGTATTGGGGGATGAAAGGCTGGAGAGCTGCCCTGCAGAAAGAGGTCTTGGGGGTTTGGGTGGATGGCAAGTTAAATAGGAGTCAACAGTCTGCCCTGGCAGCCAAAAGGGTCAACTGTATCCTGGCGTGCACCAAGCACAGCATTGCCAGCCGGTCAAGGGAGGTGATTGTCCCACTCTACACCGCACTGGTGCGGCCCCACCTCAAGTTCTGGGTGCAGTTTTTTGGGCACCTCAATAGAAAAAGAACATCAAACTTTTAGAGTGTGTCCAGAGGAAGGTGGCCAAGATGGTGAAAGGTCTCGAGGGCAAAACTTGTGAGGAGCAGCTGAGTGATTACCTCATTGCAGTCTTCACCTTCCTTACAGAGAGCAGCAGGAGATGTGTTGATCTCTCCATAGTGACCAGTGACAGGACACGAGGAAATGGAATGAAGCTACCTCAGGGGAAGTTCAGATTGGACGTCAGGAAAAGGCTCTTCACTGAAAGGGTGGTTGGTCACTGGAATAGGCTCCCCGGGAAAGTGGTCACGGCATCAAGCCTGTCAGAGCTCAAGGAGCATCTGGATGATGGTCTTAGTCATACAGTTTAGCCTTAGGTGGGCTGATGAGGAGCAGGGAGTTGGATTTGGTGATCCTTAGGGGTCCCTTCCACCTGGAGATACTCTGTGATTCTGTGCTAAGTACCTGGGAAGGGAATCAAACTAAATCTGGGAGGTTTTTGATCAGATTAAGTAAATTTTTCTAACTACTTACAGAAATAATCTGATGTTACACTTTTACTATTGAATTAGTTCCATCAATCTCATAATGTTTAGTTGTATTTGATTGACCTAGAGCATAAGCCTAGTATGTTTTAAACACAATTCTTCCAAAGTACCACTAAGATAACGCTTTTGCCCTCAACTTCATCTTGTACATTTTGGCATTATGTGGGGTTTTAACAACTTGAGTGGAAAAATCTCTGGTTGAAAAGTATGTAATGCTTTGTTTGAAATATTTTTTTGTTCTTTGGAACGTGAACCTACAGTTAAAACTGAAGACTTTGAATCTCAGCTGAGCTACTGGTATCTTGTTCAAAGTAGTGTGTGGTGTGAGCAGTGTCCTTTAGCCACTGCTGGGGCATGCGGTAAGGGATGCTATCTTTGGAGGGGATGGGGAGGGGGTCTGTTTTCTGTAGCCCAGCATTCCCTCCCTATGCAGTTGGTTTGAATTTGTTTAGGATAAAGTATTCCATTTGTTGCTGTCACTTTTTATCACACCTAGAGTTTCCTAAAAAAGCTGACCATAGTTATACAAGTTTGCAATAAAATCGTGTGAATGCAGTGAGACTATTGCAGTTGTGTCAGGTGTAAATTGGTGTATTCTCAAAAGCTTTTTTCTTTTCCTAGCTAATAAATTGATTACACGAGAAGGGCCTTCCTTTCTGCAGATGCGAATTAAACATTTGATGAAGTCAAACTGCATCCCACAAGCGACTTTCTTGTCAAAATTGTGTGTGGATTCTCCAGAAATTGCAAATGTTTCATCTTTTCGCCAAGCCTACATCACATGTGTGTGTTCTATGCTGCCTAACGAAGACTCCATTAAGGAGGTTAGTAATCCATAGTCCCTTTAAAAATGTGTATTTATCAAGCATTTTAGAATTTATTTCTGCAATACTAAGAACGGAAGCTGAAGAGTGAAACTGTTGCAGTAGAGTTCCAAAAGATAAATGAAATATTGCAGACTGCAGTAGGAAAGAACATTTGTATTAACTGTGGGTGTACATAAGTATGTATTCGAGGTTAGATGTGTTTGAAAGCTTACAATAAAGCCTGTAACTTCAGTTCCCCTTGTAAGCAAAATATAATTTTAAAGCTGTTTTTTCTGGCTCAAATACTAGTACTAGAGCAGTCACTTCTCTTCTAGTTGTTCTGACCTAGGAAAGAAACATTTGAAAAACAAAACAAAACAGACCAGCAAACCAAACAGAAGCCACTTTAGAGTTGTTGCTCCAGAACTCTGAACTAATTTTTAGCAGTTAGTCTTCCTCTTAAGGTAACAGTCATAGTCATGATTTGTGTTAACACATTGCAGTCATAGCAGCGGTTGTACAACTCTTGCCTCTGTTGCCTGTTGATCTCACACATCTGTTATTTTATCAGTCTCGCTGTTCTTGGTAGAGTTGTATGCATTTGGTGGTGTTAAGTGTGAGACCTGAACATTTTGAGTAAGCCTCTGTGAAACTGAGGGAAGCTTCACATATTTAAAAAAAAAAAAAAGCAGCTCTGATTTCTGCATTTCCTGAGTGAGTGGCAGACTTGTTTGCAGTGTTCTTGTTACACACGTAAACTATTTTAAAAGTATTCCTTTAAAATACTACTTTTGGAAAATAATTGGATAGGTGTACCTTCAGACAGTTTCTTCAGTTTGAGCCACACTCCCCTCAATTTGCTGTAACATAGGAGCAATGAATGCATTTAACAGCTCACTGCAGATACTGTCTGTGTACTATAGGCTTTGGGGATATGTGGGTAAATTGCAACATGTTCTTTGATTGGACTGGCTACTAATGAAGAATGGCATAGAAATCACATGAAATTGTGTTCAGTTTTTAGTTTCATTTAAGAGTTGTGACGTGTAGCTGCATCTGTTTTACCTGGATACTTGGAAGACCCTTTACTTGCCAGTCGAGTGTAAAAGTTAGAACACAGATTGAGTTGAATTAAATTATGGTAATCACTTAAACCTTTTATGGGAAAATGAATGCACTAAGCATCAAAGCAGTATGTTAAAACAGTATGGTTTATTGACTTAAATGGACCTGTAGCCAACACTCTGAAAAGTGTGAAGTCAGTGGTGTTACAGTGCCAGAAAGCTGATGTAAATAACAGGCGATATGAGGATTTGCATTTAATGTTTATAGTATGCTTGGTCACAGGTATTGTGTAGTTGGCACTCTTTACAGAATTGCTCAAATCTGAAACTTTTAAAACACTTTTCTTTACACCTTTGTTTTCAGAAGGCAAGAATTGTGTCAGATCTTCATGTTACCTATCATCTTCCTCAGGTAGAAAGTTATCAGGTCTAATGACAAGTAGGGAAAAGAGATGAAAAAAAGATGGAGGATGAAGACCTCAAAGAATGGCAGCTGTTGGAAAATGAGAGGTGGCACTGACTGAAAACCCAGCGAGGGGAAGAGGGAATTAACTGTAATAAAAGAAATGAGGATTAAGTGAAATTTGAATTTCAGAGTAGAATGGGGTAGATGGAGGAGAAGGGCTTAGCTACGAAAGTAAATGTTACAAAAATAGTGATATGAGTGAAGATAGCTTGGGGAGGATTGGAGATAATTTGCTTTGGAAGATTAGACAATGTATGGTCATCCCTTTCCAGGAACTGGAAGTGATTGGAATGGCTAGGTCAAGCTTGGAAGTTAAATTGCTGAACTACTTCTATCTATATCTATAGGCAATAACATAGATGTATACGTGTGTGTATATATGTATGTACATACATGTATGTGTGGGTGTATTTATGGTGTATATATGGTTATAACTCTCTATATCTACACTATATATAAAGTTGTCCCTTGCATTTCTGGTACCTTGAATTGATTCTAAGGCACACATGTAACAAGTAGTATGACTATGTAATTATATGTTCACAAGAATCTCGTGCTGCTCTTTGAGAAACCTGGAAAGTAACAGAACTAAGAATTGCTGTCTGGCTTATTGTTGTGGTTTAAACCTGGCTGGTGGCTGAAGACCATGCAGCTGCTTACTCACCCTCCTCTGTCCCACGGCACTGGGGAGACAATTGGAGGGGTAAAGGTAAGGAGACTTGTGGGTTGAGATAAGAACAATTTAATAACTGAAATGAAATACATTTTAAAATAATCATGATGATAATAAGAATAGTAGAATATATAAACAAGTGATACACAGTGCAACTACTCACCACCCGTTGACCATGGCCTAGCCCGTTCCTAGCTAGCAATCCTGGAGGAGAGAAGAATCCTGAAACTGCAGTCCTGGAAGAGAGAGTTTCCTGGCTGACTCAGTATTTATATACTGAGTATGACATTGTATGATATGGAATATCCCATTGGCTAGTTTGGATCCATTGGTCTGGCTCTGCTCCCTCCCGGTTTCTTGTGCACCTGCACACTAGCAAAACATGGGAAGTTAGAAAGTCCTTGTTTTTGTAGCAAGAAATAAACACATCTGTATATTATCAGCATTCTTCTCATACCAAAGCCCATACTGAATCCAAAACACAACGCTGTTTTACCTGCTAAAAAGAAAATTAGTTCTAACCCAACCAAAACCAGGACACTTATTGATTCCAGTGTTTGGCTTGAATTTGCCAATTTTATTGAACCAATTAGAACGCTAATTAAGGGGGTTCTCCTCCACAGTAGTTAACAAGTAGTTAATAACACTCTTTACTGTTGGAAAAAGGATGGAGCCCTAAATGTTTCATAATCTAGGATGGCTTTTCCTACAAGGCAAGCGCCAGCTACATGTAGCAATAAAACAGGGCTTTTAAATTAAACAACAGGTTAAAATTAAAGCCAGATTGATTGTTTTAATCATAACTGCTCATCTCTGTAGAATGTCAGTGTGATTTGTGCATTTGAGCTCCATATGGCCATCTGTTATCTTCAAAGTAGGGTTTTTTAGTTTTGACTTTTTCTTTGGGAAGGACCATTCAAAAATCTGAGAGTAAAGCATTTGAGGAAATCTGAATTGAATCCCATTCATTAAAAATTCAACTGGGAAGCTTAAGAACAGTCATCTTTTGGAGGCCCTCTCCAGACATTGCCTACAGGATAAGGAATTGTTCTTGGGTTGTATGCTTAAAAGAGCAAGAGGGAAAGACATGAAGTTTGTTAAAACACTGGGAAAGTTGCAAGCAAACTCATGATAAACATATTCATAGGTACTGCCTTGTTTTGTTTCCATTGTCAAGTTAAACCAGGTGTTCTCTTCTGTCTGTAATTTGCAGTTTGATTGGAAGATTACAAGAAGTTAACCTAAGTCTTCCTTGCCCTGCAAACTATCAATGCTTAATTAAATACTTTTGATATAAAACATGTTATTTTATTAAATTTTGAGGCAGCAACTCCAAAATTCTTGCCGCTGTAGTAGCATTATTTAATGTAAATAAGGTAATACGCTGCAAAAGAGTAGCCTGAATATGTTGTCCCAGCTCAGCCAGGGGGAATTTACAGTCTCTGAGCTGAAACTAAATTGCTCTTAGTCGGTTCATGTTATATCTCTAACTCCTGAAAGAGGGTAAGTATCCCTTCATAAGCAGGCTGTGTGCCTCTTTAGGGAATATTGACATTATGTCTTACTAAAAAACTGGTAGAACACTTAGATTAGTGGTAGGAAATTTTTTATGATGACATAAGAAATGAAATATCTTTGTAATGTTAAAACTTTTTCTTCAGACTAAAATTACATGGAGGACAAAGACAAGATAAATCTTGCATGATTCTGTGCTCCATGGAATAACTTTGAGGAGTAAACTGGCGTCCTTCTTGTTAACAGAATGCGGGGAGGATGACAGCATTTTTCAACAATTCTAATTTAAAATATCTTAATACTGGTCATTCTGTAGTCTTTGAACTTTCATTCAGCTGTTGGGTTTCTAACAGAATAACAGAAGCACTGGTCAGTGTTCCAGGTTTAGTAAAGACACTTTCATTTAGTAAGTATCTGGTTTGTCACTTAAGTTACTACTTAATGTTGTTGGATTATTTCAAGCTGTGCATTAGGACTTTGTCTTAAATCTTATTAAAAAAGAAAATAACAAACCAAAACAAAAAAGACCACAAAAAATCCCCACAAAAACCAAAGGTCTGAAATGAGATGGGTCATTGACAAAGTTTGAAATAAACAGGACTTTAAAACAAGCTGTTGCTTACTCAGTAGTTAATGTCTTTGAATATGAGTGAGTTTGGCCAAAAAGAATCATTTCCACGTGAGAAGGAGAGCAAATCCAATGGCTGTGTGACTGCAGGCTGCTCCAGGCACCACAGGCTTTGCTGGAGCTGATGTTTGTGCTGCTCCTGCTGGTCCAACGCACAGCAGGAGTTCCAGCTCTGGTTACAGTGTGACTGATGGATATTAGACATGTGGGTTTTATCATTCTGTAGCCTAAGAAACCCTAGTAAGTAGGTTTTAAGTTCATAGTTTTTAAAACAGCGTTAATGTTGTTCAGTGACTGCTCCTTAATGGAACAGGGAAACTGAGTGTGGTCTCTGACAAGTGATGCCTGACCAAGTAGATCACAAGTAGGCTGCCACATCGTCTTCAGATTTGTGCAGGAAAGATATCCCATATTTACATGCACTGAGAATTTTTTGGGTTTTTTTTCTAAAAACTGTGACCTGGAAGATCAGGCTTCTACCAAACCACTGCAGGCAGCCTCTTGCATTGTTGAAGAATGTTTGCTGCAGTATTGAGGAGATGGCAGTCTATAATTGTGGAAATTGTCAAAGACAAAAGTTTGGGCCACTTAGCTTTGTTTTACTGATTTACTTTATAAAATGTGCTGAAGGAAATTGTAATCTATAAAGAATAGGAATAACTGAGTGGAGAGAGGTGGTAGAATACTGTGAGAAGACTGGAGTTACCCAGCTATCAGACATGGGTTCAGCTAGGCTTCCCACACGAGCAAGCCTGTGTGCCTGTGAGTACCGAAGGTAGATGAGAACAGAAGGGTACTGCTGATAGGATGTTGGAGGGAGATGATATGCAGCAGTATCCTTTTTTTTTATTAATCTGTAAGCTGGAACAACTGTGTTCTCTCCTGTGCAGCCTTCAAAATTCTTTCATGTGCCCATTAGTATGGGCTTACTTTTCCATCTTGCCCAACCTGATGGACATGGCACTTGATTTGCAGATATTGTAAGTGCTTATTGTCTCTAACATGCAAGGAGCAATGATGTCTGTCCCCTTAGTAAGCAAAGCCTCAATCAGTTCTTGAGGTTTCTCTCTTGCTAGAGGTAAGTTAGTGACAAAACCCCCAACCAAAATAATCTGCTACATTTTACTCTTTTTCAAATGGAAAACTGAGGCATCTGTAAGCACTTCCAGGGTGCGAATTGCTCTAAAAATGTCTTGCAAAAGCTCGGTCATGGATCTCAAGTTGAACACCAAAAGTCAGTGAACCCTAGAAACTGATGACATTGCTCAGTGAACTCCAGTGTCAAGCCTGTATGGAAAACTGGGGGGTGATATACCTGCTTCTGCTCTTCTTGCTGAATGAGATGTCTGTGAAAATTAGTTTGGTATATTTTAACTTCTGTTTGTGCTTTCTATATAATTATTTTTCATTATTAACAAGAGGTTTGAATGGCTTATAGTAGCAACAGCTGATTAACGTAGATTTTGCCTGAGTACAGCCTGTTCCGTGAAGTGGAGCAGATCCAGTGGAAAAAAAAAAGTATTAAAAATAGTATTGTCTTAATAGTAAAAGCACTTCTTAATTACTGTCTGTGGTCTAAAATACTTGGCTTATAATCAGGCTAATGGCCTGTTTTGATACATGGATAGGTACCACCTTTAAGTAGACTTTCCAGAACTTCTGTGGTGTTGTCCCAAAACTTGGGTTTGTCACCTGGTGTGCAAAGAGCCCATCCACACACAGCATGGAGGTATTTCCTTTTATTCCATATCTGTACAGAGATGGGTGTCTGTCCCAAGAAAGCACACCAAGCTTTCAGATTAATGGTTATTTATACACAAAACATTAACATATTCAACCTCCTAATACATATGCATTGTTACTTTATTAAATAATTGGTTAAAATCTCTTTGCCTAGTATGTAAATGAGTACACATGCTTGGTTCTTTCTTTTGAGTCAGGGGTATCATTGGGGTAACTGGTCTGTGAGTTGGTGGTCATGATCTCCCCCTGCCAGAACTACCTTTCCCCAGTTTTTTACTTCTTTTGGCAACTCTAAGCAGTTCTTCATGGGTTGCTGACCAAACTAACATTTCATCATTTTGAACTTCCCTTTAGACAGACATGTCCTGGTGTCAGCTGGGACAGAGTTAACTTCACAGTATCAAGTGTGAGGCTGGTTGGGTTTGTGCTGAGGAGAAGCTGATGGGCAGAGCTCCTGCCAGGACAGTCAAGGACTTTCCAGCTTCTCTGCTGTGCCCGTGTCTGCAGGGGCAGGAGGAGCTGGGAGGGAGCACAGCCCCAGTGACCAGCCCAGGATTCGACCTCAGGTTCAGGACTGAGACCAAACTGGCCGATGGTCTGTTCCATTCCATGCCCGGCATGGCCAGGGGAGAGGTGAGGCTCTGTCTGGAAGGACTTGCTCTTGTTCCAGGTCAGCCTCTCCCTCTGGGTCACCTCTCTCTCAGGGTCGTCTTGGTCTCTTGGGCACTCAGGCTCTTATCTCTGTTCTGGGATTGCAGTTTCAGGACTCTACCTGCTCCAGGATTGTTAGCTGGGAACAGGCTGAGCCTTGGCCATGGGGTGGTGAGCAGTGTCACTGTGTGTCACTCATTTGTATATTTATATAAATTACTATTATCATTATTATTTTCAATATTGTTGTAGTTTAGTTATTGAATTGTTCTTATCTCAACCCATGAGTTCTTTTTTCTTCTAGCCCTTTTCCTCCCCCATCCCCGGGAGGAGGGGAAGGGGAGGATGAGTGAGCAGCTGTTGTGGTGTTTAGCTGCCAGACAGGGCAAAACTATGACACACATTAAGACTAGTTTTGCGTTTTCCTTAAGTCTAGTAAAGTTAATTTCTAACCTATAGTTATTTTGACATCACAGGGATGCCTACAAGTGCAGAGCAGGAATAGGAAGTTTTAGATAGACTGTTTCCTGTATGTAAGTGTTTTGCTGCCCAAAATGGAAGATGGTCCCAAAGAGAACTAGTACTGAGAAGGGGTCAAAACTAACACGTGAGCTTCTCATGTCATTCTGTAGCTGAAAGGTGTGGTATGAACTCTGGGTATGAAAAGCAGACATAGTGTTTTGTTCATGTGTTTGTGAGATCATTTCCTTTGATACAGTAAACATGCATTTCTTTTGTAACATGATGAGAATAAAGTGCCTTTTCTTTCAATTTTCTTTAAGATTGCAAAGGTGGATTGCAAAGAAGTATTGGACATCATATGTAATCTGGAATCTGAGGGACAAGAAAACACTGCATTTATTCTTTGTACAACATACCTTACTCATCAGCTTCAAACAGCGAATGTGTATTGCTCTTGGTAAGTAATGAGTATTAGTGCTACTCCTAAGTGTTTCTCGCTGGCTTCAGTGCAAGAGAATTGAGCTAATACAGTACAAAAATATGTAGAGAAGGTGGATATATCTTGAGAAGTACATCACACTGAAGTACTTTCTAGATACCTTGTGACTAAAATAAATATAAAGACTCATATTGCTACAATAATAGAGCAGTTAGACAAAAGTAATGTTTAAATCACTTAAAAATTAAACAGCACTCGTTGGTATTAACAGTAAGGCTTCAACAATATAGCAGCTCTGTAAGTAGTGCTGGATCAGTGCTGTCTGGGTTGATATCAAGCCTGTTAAGCTTTGTGGTTCAACGAAGTATGTTGTAATTTAGTTCTTCCCTCCTGAATACTTAGACCCATGGTACAGTGCCATTTGCAGGTCAGCTTCCCCTTGTGCTGTTATGGGTTTGGTCCAACAGACAAGCCCTAAGAGATGTACTAGGAAAAGTTCCGTTCATCTGTAGGTTCCTTAAATAAAATTATTTCCTGCAGAATTTTCTGGATCATGTCCCTCCTGATTTTTAGAGTAGCAGTATATTGATGAAATGTTTTCTGCTAGCCCCTGGCTGGCCTTTAACAGACACAGTAAGCAAGCAGTGTTGTCCAGTGCAATCCTGCTTTCCGCCAGCCACCCACTCCCATTATTCTGCTCCATATCTTGCTTTATGCAGTGTTGGAGTGAACCAGCATGAGTGATCCACATTGAAAGTATTCTGGTTTAGACAAAGGAAAAGACCTGTTGACAGCTGTGATCAGCAGGTGAAAGTGAGGATGCTTCTGAGACTCCATTAGTGGGGATGAGCGTCTTGTGTAGTGGATGAAGATGGAGCTTTGGTACCCCACTCTTACTTGAGCCAGTCCTAACAATTTACTACTGCCAAAAAGCGGAAGATAAATTCTTGACATATTGTGGTGCTAGCTGCGCCAGTCTGACTCATCTGTTGTTCTGGCTCTGAGCCCATCTGACCTGTAGTGAGCACGTTCATCTAGCCCAGCCAGAACTGTGTATAGCCTTCTACAGATGAATGCTTGATTAGTTTACCATGTGCTCAGAGAAGTAGCAGTGAAGAAGTGCTGGTGCTTCTGGAAGCTGTAAGCTGTTAAATCTGTTCAGCTGTAACATCATTCTGTCTAGAAAGGGAAAATTTGCCTCCCTTCCCTCCTGTCTTTACTGCTCTAGCACCTGCCTGATGGCACAGTGTGAAATCTTCAGCCCAGCATAAAACCTCTGTTATTATTCTTGCATATTGGGAGGGATTAAGCAATTTCATCAGTTTAGCTCAGCTCATCCTGTAGCCTCAAGTTTATACCTCCAAGCCAAGTAAACCATACATGTATATGAATTAGTGCTGTTGGTGTGAAGCTTCATTTCACAGCTGAAGATTAAAGCAAACATAGGTTTCTCACTAAATATTCCTCACTAAAGTTGGAAGATTTTGCAATTTTGCTGTTAATCATACAATTATGTGTAGTGCTACTTTTAAGACTGGAGGTATGTGCTGTGTTTGGAACTTTACCTGAGAAGCAGGGCTGCTCTGGGCAGTGGTTCTGAGCTAGCTAATTGCCTCAGCCTCCCAGGAGTCTGGCATTTCATCAGTCCATAAGATAATGTCATCTTTGGCATTAACAGCACAGCTTCAAAAAACTTCTCTCTGGTCTGATATGCTAGTAAGTTTGGGGCTTTTGTTGGGTTTGTGTGGTTTGGTTTTTTTTACTTCTAAGTGTTACTACATATCTGTCTGGAGTTCTTTCTGTTCTCTACACTGCCTCACATCAGTTTTTGAGACTGAAAATTGCCCAACACTGAGGGTTGTCCTTTCTTGCCTTCCCATATGTGTGAAGATTATCTGAGAAACACTTCCACATCACCATCCTTGAGGAGCTATTCCAAAAATGTACTTTAGCTTTGCAGAAAGAATGGAATGAAAAAGGGAACAGGGCAAACACTGAAAACTTCTTCCTCTGCCAAAAACTATTGGAAATAATGGATTATTCACTACTCTCCAGCTCCCAGCTATGTAGATACACTGAATAAATGTACAAAATGACTGATGTCTTGATAAACTAGTTTTCAAGTTTGTTTCTGTTGTGGTGATGCTGAGCTTTTATACATAGATTGAGGCAGAGATATAGATAGATATATCTACATTCCATGCCTTCCTTGTGTAAGCTTCCCTTCATATAATTTTTTCATGTTAGTCATCTGATGTTCAGTTAAATTTTGTATTTTGTCAGCTTCTTGGGGCTAAAGCGCAGTATAAAAAGTTGCTGATATTCTTAGTGCCTGCCTCTTTTTCCTCTCCAGTTCTGTTTTAGGATTTAAAATTAGAACACTTTGAATTATACCAGTTGCATATTGGTTTCTTGTGGGGCTATCTAGCTTCACAGCTGTCTCTTCCTGACTCTGGAGGGCTGTAAGTGCATTTGTAGGTCTTCAAACAAATAAAAAAACCCAACCAAACAAACCCCCAAAAAACTGTTACCACTAAATATTGTCCATTTTTGGGCAATAAATGTATCTCAGGTCAGATACATTCTCTTTCACTTGGCGTAGAGTTCAAGAGTAGGATTGCAATAATTGGAAAACCTTGCCAATAAGCAGTGTGAAGTTTGCCTGAGCATGTTTTCTTGATTTTTGGTCCTAGAGGCTATGACTAACCTTGCATCTAGAGATTTATATACATATATATATATATAATATGATGCACAGAGTGGTTAAGTTAGCAAAGGTGAAGTTTGCTCTACTAAAGGAACAGGATCAAAACTTCTTTCATGTGATACAAAAGATACTGATCCTGTCAATCTGCTGCTTTTCCGTTTCTGTGGCGCTCATCGTGATGGCAAAGCAACACAAAGTGAGAGACTGCGTCATTCAGTGGCTGTGTTGCCTTGGTGATAATAAATTGCTTAACTGAACAGCTCTGTGCTGAAATGGGATGAGCAGGAAAGCCGTAACTGCTAAAGACAGTAGACAACGCCCTCAGCTTACACATCCCTTAGGTAACACTTCACACGCCTGTTGTGTTGGGTGGTTCTTTTAAAAGCACTGGGGGGATGTTACATCATTTGAGTGCTGGTGTCAACCTCACAGCTCCTTGCCTAATGGGAGAGAAGTGGCTACTTTACATTATGATTCATCTTACCTATTTTAAATTTGTGTGAAAATTCAAGGCTCTGCAAGTGTGGGGTTTCTTGTCCAGAAGGGAAGTCTGTGCAGCTCCAGATGCCTGCATTAAGTGCAATGAATCCCATTGCCAGTGTCTTTCCCCACTAAATAACAGGATATGTACTGTGGTTTGATCTGGTGCTTGTTTAGGAGTGAGGCACAGTAACAGTTCTCTTCAGCATCTCTCAGCGATGGAGACCTGATGAAGTGTGTGCTGTTTTTTAATGACACTGGAACTGTTATGGTGTCAACTCTAAACTGAAGTGTGTAGACTGGATAAATTGTGTGTATCTGCAGCTGTTACATTCTGCTTTCAACTCTTTGCAGGGAACTGACACTTTTCTGGAGCAAACTGCAAAGGAGAATAGATCCTTCTTTAGATTCCTTTTTGGAGAGATGTCGTCAGTTCGGCATCATCGCCAAGACGCTACAGCATTTATTTTTCTTGATAAGAGTTATACAATCTGAAGTAAGTAAGCTGCTATCCAGAGTCTTTGGACACAGCCAGAACTGTTTACATGAATTTATTGTTTTCTTAATAATTCTTCTGAACTGATATGAAATAGTTGTATTTCATTATTCATACTTTCTGATAAAGTGCCTAATAACTTACTAATAAAAATAGCTGAAAAATGCCTGCCACTGTAAATTTGTATCAGCTTGACACATTTAAATGACCTTCAGTCAATATGGAATGGTTTGTATGTTGCTGTGAAAACACAGTATGACAGTATTTTGCTAACAAAGCACCGCTGTGTTTTGATCTGATGCCTGTTTACAAGTGAGGTGCAGCAACAATTTTCTGCAGTATCTCTAAGAGATGGAGACTTGCTGAAATGTCTCCTATTTTTGTATAGTGAAAAAATGTTTTCCTCAAAATGTGTGATACAATTGCATCTGGACTTCTGCCTTGTATTCTTGATGCCTGTCTTGAGAAGGTTGCAGAAAGGTCCAAGAGATGCCTAACAGCAATTTTTATAAACTTGTAATCTCTGTTTGAGGAGAGATAGAAAAACTTTTAATTGATCCATCTTCCCGGGAGGCAAATATAGCATGCTCTTTGTAAGCAGAGCAGAAGGGGTAGTTGTGGTTAATCTGGGTGGTTGCTCAATAAGATGTTTGTCTTCCTGGGAAGGCTACTCTGACTCTTTGGAATTGGTTAAACTTGGTTTAAAATTGGTTAATTTCCTGTGTCTGGTCACTATATGAGAGTAGATTCATGGAGGGGAATAATGAATGAAAATTAATCAGGCAAACTTTAGTGGAGAAGAAATAAGTTAACTAATAATAACAAGATTTTAACTGTTTCAGTAGCAGTATTACATGGATCATGGACCTTAAATTAGATATGGGTTTTTTCCCATAGGAACATCACCATTTCTAAAAGATTTCTGATATTTCTACCTGAAAAGCAGCATAGTTTTGGACATGTAGGGTAGAATTTGCCACATGAACTTCAGTATTATGAATGTTTCAATTAACAGTACCCTCCCAAATTTGCTCATCTTTTTGCATTCTTATATGGACGTGAGTTAATTCAGAGTTAAAGGGTCAAATGGATTATGTCCTATGAGAGTTGGGGGTGTGCAGCCTGGAGAAGAGAAGGCTCCGGGGAGACCTTCCAGCACCTTCCAGTGCTGAAAGGGGGCTACAGGAGAGCTGGGGGGGCTCTGGATCAGGGGGTGCAGGGACAGGACGAGGGGGAACGGCTTGAAGCTGCAAGAGGGGAGATGGAGATGAGATGTGAGGAAGAAATGTTTTCCTGTGCGGGGGGTGAGGCAGTGGCCCAGGGTGCCCAGAGAAGCTGTGGATGCCCCATCCCTGGAGGGGTTCAAGGCCAGGCTGGATGAGGCTTTGGGCAACCTGGGCTAGTGGGAGGTGTCCCTGCCCATGGCAGGGGGGTGGAACTCGGTGGTCTTCAAGGTCCCTTCCAACCCCAGCCTTTCTATGATTCTGTGATTATGAATAAAACAGGCAAGGTTCATTTTTTCCATTAAATTTATCTCCAGCTTCAGGTTTGTTTGCTGGAGAGTCTCATTTGCTGACTAGAGTTAATTGTGTGAGCCAAATGAGTTATCAAGGATCATTTGATAAGAGAAGAGCCAAGTGTCAGAGCCCTGTTTCAGAATCAAAGTAGAGATCAGGAAGGTTACATGATTGTCCTTTTGACAGATCATAGAGGAGAGTCCAGAACTCTAATTTGTCAAAGATTAATTCAAGCAGTTATTGCACAGAGAAATATTTGCTCCTAGTTTCTCTAAAGTTGGCCTAGTTCTACTTTCAAATTGTGTGTGAATATGCATTTCATGTATAAAGGGTAATGCATTGTTAACTATATACCAGTTCTCCCTGTGTTTCCTGATAAACTGTATAAAAACTTTTTCTCCTGAGGAAATAACTTTTTTTATTGCTGTCTAGCAAATTAACACTGTTATTGAATTAAATAAGTATTGCCTGACTTCCAGTAGGCAGTGCACAGGGAGTATAAGAGCTTGCTGATTCTTTTAACTTGTTCTTAGTTCTTTTGGACCTTTACCATTTATTTGAGCTGGTATGGATGTGGTTTTGTTAGCCACGTGTCATATTCATAAATAACTGTTAACTTGTCTTTACTAATAATGACTAAGTAGTTACTTCATTGCATTCAGATTCTCTATGCTGAAAAGTATGCTTGTGGAACAAGGTAACTTTCCATTTTGTCCATGTAGAATTTGGAATATATTCTTTTTTAAAATCATCATGTGAATAATATTTGTAGATATCTTCCTGAAACTATTGAGCTGCACCTCAAAGTTGCATAGACTCCTCAGAAAACCTCTGGAAGTGCAATGCCAGTTATCTTCATCCAGGAATCATTTCTGCTACTGTACAATTGCTTGTGCTGTTGCTTATTTTTTTTCAGTGTGTGAATTTACATTAATTTTTTTATTACACACTATTGCATGTTCTGAATTAATATATTCCTCCTGCAGCATCCATACAGTATATATGGAAGATTTACACCATTCTCTTTCAGACATCTGACTTAATTATGATTGAGAGTCACTCAGTGAAGAGGAAGTAGAGTTAGAAAGATGTTTTGCAACATTGCACATTTTTTTCATAGAACAGTTCTAGAGAGAATGTACTTATCAAAAAAAGAAGAAAAATAATGGCTTTTTTTGTGGCTTTTTTTTAACAGGCAGAAGAAGCAGGCCTTGCTGTGTCTGTTTTGTTATGTGTGAGAGCCCTTCAGATCAGATCAAGCGGAAGTGATGAAATGAAGACATCAGTATGTAAAACAATTGCATGCCTTTTACCAGAAGACCTTGAAGTTAGAAGAGCTTGTCAGCTCACAGAATTTTTACTTGAGCCAACTTTGAGTGGATTTAATGTGTTGGAAGAGCTCTATATGCAACCAGATCAAAAATTTGATGAAGAAAATGCACCGGTTCCAAATTCACTCCGTTGTGAGCTGCTGTTAGCTTTAAAAGCCTATTGGCCATTTGATCCTGAATTTTGGGACTGGAAGACTTTAAAGCGACATTGCCTTAAACTGTTAGGGAAAGTAGCTTCTGATTCTGAGGATGATGCAAGTTGTAATACGTCAATCAATGAAACTGACATGTTAGAAACTTTCTTTAGTGACTATGATGAGGCAAAAGAACATAAATATTATGATGGAAAAGACACAATGAACCAACCTAAAGAAAAAGCAAGAGTAAAAAAACCAATTGGCTCTTCAGAAAGATACCAGAGATGGCTTCAGTACAAATTTTTTTGTGTGCTCTGCAAAAGGGAGTGTATAGAGGCTAGAATACTGCATCATTCTAAGATGCATATGGAAGATGGTGTTTATACGTGTCCAGTGTGTACAAAAAAGTTCAAGAGAAAGGAATTTTTTGTACCACATGTAATGGAACATGTTAAAATGCCACCTAGTAGAACACACAGACCTAAAAAGAAGATCATACTGAAAAAAGACAGATCACCACAAAAGACAACAGCTTCCAGCAGCCTGCCCCCAGCATTTCAGGAAAAGTCACATCAGCCACAGCTGCCTGAAAACTTTGAGAATGACACGCATGAATATGTCACATTTAGCCAACTGGAAAATTGTCAGCTACAAGACAGAGACATCTATCCATGTCCCGGAACAGATTGTTCTAGAGTATTTAAACAGTTTAAATACTTAAGTGTCCATCTGAAAGCTGAGCATCAAAACAATGATGAGAATGCAAAACATTACCTGGATATGAAAAACAGGAGAGAGAAGTGTGCTTTCTGCCGCCGGCACTTCATGACATCCTTTCATTTGCGGGAGCATGAACGCGTACACTGTGGACCTCAACCATACATGTGTGTGTCGATGGATTGTTATGCTAGATTTGGGTCAGTTAATGAGCTTCTCAGTCACAAACAAACACATGATGATCTTCGTTATAAATGTGAGCTAAATGGCTGTAATATTGTTTTCAGTGACTTAGGGCAACTTTACCATCACGAGGCACAGCACTTCAGAGATGCATCGTACACCTGCAACTTCTTTGGTTGCAAAAAGTTCTATTATTCAAAAACTGAATTTCAGAATCACCTTGCAGCGCACAACATTGGAGTGTCAAATGGGGAAGTAAAGCAAACGCTCAAAGAGTCTGTTTCAAAAGACAAATGCAGTTATCTTCCAGAGTCTCAGCTGCTTGAACAATCTGAAGGGTCCGGTCAGAATGATAACCTGGATCCCTCAGGCTCTCAGGAAATTCCACAGATTAAGGAAGAAGCTCTCTCTGACAGTGAAGAACTAGATAGTGAAAGTAATTGCAGTCTTCATTGTGGGGACCACAGCACAGATGCTGCAGTGAACCAAGGCCAGGTGTCTTCTCTACTAGTGGAAACAATGGCTCACAATCAATCAGTTCCAGGTTTTCTCACGTCCCAGGAAGGAGTCTTCCATCCAGCAGATATGAAACAGCAGTGTTCCAATGAAGCAGTTTGCTTTGATGAAAAAAAACTTTCCTGTGGTTTTGAAGGCTGCTGTTCCACACACAAAAATTCTAGAAGTATGCAGAAACACCTTCGCAGGGCACATCCATATAACCTTAAAGGTAGAAAAAATATGGAGATGAAAACTAAGGACTTTCTCAATCTGTTGAGTGATGCTCAGGACAGTAAATCCCCTACAGACATTAGTACAGAGTTAGGTCATAATTCAGATACAAATGCTGACTCTCCAGAAAGCGTGTATTGTACTGTAGATGCCAAAGGAAGCAATGGCCTGAAGGAGGACACTTGTCCTTCTTCCCCAGAAACATCATTTTGTGAAAGTTCTAAAGAATCAAATATTGAAGATAGCATGTTGGAACTAATGGTAGGCTTAAAACATCTAAGCTTAAAAAATTCTAACATTCAGAATTCAAGACACAAGCCTTTTTTGGGCTCTTTACAGTCCTATTCATCTACAGATGCCAAGTGCCCTGAGTCAGTAGATGAAACTACCTCAAAATTTCAGCTTCAAGAGCAGCAAGACAATTTACCCAGCCAGTACCTTACTCAGCTGGCAGCTAAACCATTTTTCTGTGAATGTCAAGGATGTACATGTGAGTTTGTGACCAGAGAAGCTCTCTTAATGCATTATGTTAAAAAGCATAACTACTCAAAGGAAATGGTTCTTCAGTTAAATATGTTCCAGCATCGGTACTCACCATTTAAATGTCATATCTGCCAAAGATCATTTACAAGAAAAACACACCTTAGAATTCACTATAGAAACAAACATCAAATTGGCTGTGAGAGGGTAGCTCACAAGGTATGTTCTAATGAAAAATTTGATCATGTAGGTTTATGTACAGATGACATGCATAAAAATAGCAGTGTTCCACCATCTGCCTGTGCAAACAATGTTGAATTCATTGGACATTCAGACCACTCTGAGCAGCTGTGCCATCCTAAAAAGGAAGACTGCAGTTCCGAGACAGATTTGGAGTCCAGTGAAGAGACAGACAATGTAACAAGAAAAACATCTAATATAGCTTCTCTGGACAGTCATGGGGAAGAACTGGAAGCAAGACAGGGAAGAGGAAGCAAAAGAACAGTTGCTAAGGGAAACTTATGTTATATATTGCATAAGTATCACAAACCATTTCATTGTATACATAAAAGTTGCAACTCGGCATTTACTAACCAGAAAGGTTTGATTCGCCATTATAGAACCGTTCACCAATATAATAAGGAACAGCTCTGCTTAGAAAAAGACAAAGCAAGAACAAAAAGGGAACTTGTCAAATGTAAAAAAATATTTGCATGCAAATACAAAGATTGTGGTAAGCGTTTTTTATGTTCTGAAGCTCTTGCTAGGCATTGTAGTGACTTCCACAATGAACACATAGAGGATGAAAAACTGCTTTCTGAAGCTGAATCTGCAAGATTTGCTTGTAACCAAGCCCACTGCCATGCTGTATTTTATACCTTTAATAAGCTTAAACAGCACCTAATAGAAGACCATGCCAATGAAGAAAAATTAAACAAAGATTTTGAAATCCATTGTGACCTTAATGGCTGTGATCGAATTTTCACAAATTACAGTCACTACTCTCAACATGTATATTTCCGACATAGTGAATATTATGATAGTCTCTTTGGAAATGCGAAAGAGGAGGAAGATAATCAAGATAAAAATGAACAAAGTTATTTGAAAGACAGTTATGGCATAAGCAAGCAGAATGGGAAGCAGTTAAAAGAAAAACCTAAAAGAATTAGCAGAAGCAGAGAAAAGCATTTGATGAATTTCAAAACAAAGGAGGAAGCCCTACAGATGTGCAAAGAGAAGTCTAACCAGACCCAGTACCCTTGCATGGTTCAGGGATGTTTGTCTGTTGTCAAATTGGAAAGCAGTATATTGAGGCACTATAAGCGCACACATCAGATGACCAGTATGTATATAGAGCAACGGATTCAAAAACTTGTTGTTTGTGTTAAATGTGGCGTAATGATTGAAAAACAGTCCTGCTCTGAAAGAGCTTTAGACTTGGATAAAAAAGGTGTAAAAGAGGATGCATCAGCTAATCCTGAGTCTGTACAGGAAAGTGAAAAACCTCTTGTTCCAAATACTAACAGTGATCCTCAAGATGAGAGCAATGAAGACCAAAAAAGATGTCCATCGGGTAGTGTGAGTTTTGATGCCAGTGCCTTTATGTATTCAGGCACTTTAAAATACAACCACAGTTCAAAGAACACCTGTTTTGAAGAGCGTAACATCACAGAGACAGTTACGTGTAAACCTGAAGATTTTTCTGAAAATAGCGAAAGAGAGAATAGCTCTTATTTCCCCAGTTTACAATTAGAGTTGCCAAGAGAGAAAGACCCAGAGGGATGTCAGCATAGTGCAGTTAATCAAAATGCAAAAAGAAGTGCACTCTGTGCCACAAAAGACAAATTTCAGAAGCCTCCAGTGTCCAAACCATTTGATTTAAAGACATATAAACCAATGGGATTTGAGTCTTCATTTTTAAAATTTATTCAGGAGAGTGAAGGAAAAGATGACGATGATGACGATGATTTTGATGAGGTGGTAGAATGGGAGTCTCCTGAGCAGTTGCCAGTAGATAAAACCTTGCAAAAAGAGGGAGACAGTCAAGGAGATAAACCAGTGAACAACTTTGTAAATGACAAAAATGCAATCATACCACAAAATAACCATGGGCAGCTGACAGAAATCCCACCCTTGTTGTCAGAATCGTCATCTGCCCCTTCTTTAGAAGATTTGAGGGCAATCTTGGACAAGGCACTAACGGACTGTGGAGACCTTGCCTTAAAGCAGCTTCATTACTTAAGACCAGTAGTTGTTCTTGAAAGATCCAAGTTTTCCACCCCCCTCATAGACTTATTTCCCACAAAAAAGGCAGATGAGCTTTGTGTAGGAAGTACCTAAGTAGTTTTGCTTAGAGCAGATTGCCTCCACTACTGCTACATGGGGAGAACTTCAAATTAGAGCAGTAATTGTTACAGTACACACTGTTTAGGTTAGTTTAGACTGTTTAATTCCATGAATGTATAATAACTGTCAAAAGTATTGGCCAAGTTAATTTAGCTCCCCATTTTATTCAGTGGACTGTGCTGATTTTGGTGCTATTTAACACATCAGAATACTGGGGGCTTCCTCTTGAAAAGTAAATGTGCATGATTGTATATGGAACAAGTACGTGGGTACCAGGGTTTGGGGGGCAATGGAGTTATTACTTGACTTGAATGTGCACCCGAGGGTGCTTTGTGTAACATATTGTACACTACAGCATCTTATATTTTTTGAGTTATGAGTTTCAATAAATTACAGTTTTTCACCCATTTCTTTACAGTAAATCTTTAATGTGGTGTTACGTGCAATTGAATTTGGGACCATTCTACGTGCGCTGGACAATGTTGCTTAAGTTTTATGCGTTTGTAGGTAATTTACCAGACTGATGGAAGAGTATAGAGACAAAAAAGTAAAGTATTACACTTTATAATATTCTCTGTGCTTTTTTCACACTCAAATTACAGTTAGTACAGGAAGAAAGCACTTATTGATGAGAAAGTCCTAGTTTTCACTTTGAAGGAAGAAGATACTTTTGAGAGTGTATGGTGCAACGTAGGTGGTTGGAGAGCGTTGCCAGACTTCCACGAGAGTTGTGTCACGTGAAAGCGTCAGTGCACATTGTGGGCTCCCTGGTTAGCTTCTTGGGTAATGAATAAAGCCTAACTGGAAGATTCATCAGAAGAGTAATCGAATGTTTTAAGATCTGTTTCTTGTTCTTGTGTGTCTTGTTTCTGGCTGTACTTCTGGACACATCATGAGGCCCAGAATCTGTTTCCCCTGGAAGTGGTGTTTCCCAGTCTCTGTGAGGATGCTAATGCACAAGCAGCTGTCACAGCTTTTTACTGATTGAGGGCTTGGGTTCTGTGCTGTGATCTGAAAAGCAGCAGTGGAAAGGAAATTGAGAAGACGTTGTGAAATGTTGCTTAAAACAGACCATGAGTAGTGGCTGGGTGCAGGAATGAAGAAGGGTCTCTGAAAAAATACCTGGAGAACCATGTTATGAGCAGAACTAAGCAGAGATGGCATCTTTAATACTACACCTACAAACGTTATTTGGGCAACTTTAAAATAAAAGTTAGATTAAAAATTGTGCACCAGGCAGAAGTGTAGTTTATTGCATATCTTTTCCTGTCATTTCTTTTCCCTAAATTATAACCACCTTATAATGAAAGGAATATACTGCATGAATCTTCTCACTAATTCTTAAAAAGGGAAGTAAGTTAGGGTCAAAAGGTTAAATACTGCAACAGGCTCAGACACCTGAACTACCTAAATTGTGTTCCAAAGTGATTTTTGTCTTTAAAAAAAAAAAAAAAAATTCTACCTTTTAATGTCAAGCTTCTGTCACATTCAAACATACTTGAATCCTCAGGATCTCAAAACAGGAAATGAGATTAACTGCAAACTTAATAAACATATGATGACTGTGTCAGGTGATTTGCCTGGAGAGATGCAAGTACACTACTGGGTTTTCTGAATATCCCACAAAAAACTCACTGCCCTTCAATGCCTAGAGGGAAAGAAGACTGTTGAGCGTGAATAGTAAATTCATTGAGGTTTTGGATCTTCAGTTTCAAGTCAAGCAGCTGTATTTCTACTAGATAACCAGAGCTTCAACCATCACAGTATTAAAAAATTCAAGCATTTAAAATATGTATTTTAAATAAAGAGGGCTGGAGCAGCTCCCGTGCGAGGACAGGCTGAGAGAGTTGGGGGTGTGCAGCCTGGAGAAGAGAAGGCTCCGGGGAGACCTTCCAGCACCTTCCAGAGCTGAAAGGGGGCTACAGGAGAGATGGGGGGGCTCTGGATCAGGGGGTGCAGGGACAGGACGAGGGGGAACGGGTTGAAGCTGCAAGAGGGGAGATGGAGATGAGATGTGAGGAAGAAATGTTTTCCTGTGCGGGGGGTGAGGCAGTGGCCCAGGTTGCCCAGAGAAGCTGTGGATGCCCCATCCCTGGAGGGGTTCAAGGCCAGGCTGGATGAGGCTTTGGGCAACCTGGGCTAGTGGGAGGTGTCCCTGCCCACGGCAGGGGGTGGAACTCAATGGTCTTTAAGGTCCTTCTGACCCAAACCATTCTGGGATTTTGAAAGAGAGAAATTAGATGAGAATGCAGGACTGAAACGAGATGGAGAATAAATGTATATGCCACAGACCAGTGAAATGGTGAGACAAAGGCAGTGTGCAAGCTTTTGCTTTCTGTGGTCCTAAAAATGTACCAAATCTTTTAAAAAGTAGTTTTGATGTCATTGATAGCTTCCTACAACTTAAAATGATGTGAGTACAGTCAGGAAAACAGGAATTATTAAATGCAAGACTGATGCTTCAAGTGGTGATAAATTATCTGAGTCATAAGAGACCAGTTAAGCACTTTTTACATGGGAAAAAGCAAAGAGAAATAGATTCCACCAACGCAAGTATCTGCAGACTTAAAAGGTAGGAGACAATTTTGTGATGACTCCTTAGGCTGAGTCCTCTTTGAAGGTAACACAATTGTATGTTCCTGCAACAATTGCATCATGTCTCATGCTGACTGCCACTTCCATCTGTGAGTACACACCGATGGACATCTGCTCTGTGCAAGGACCTGAAGTCGTCTTGAGTGACCTGGGGACAACTTGGTTTCCATAAGAAATTTGAAGGGTAATACTCCTACATGTTTACAAAAGCCAGAAAATGGAAGTCAATTTAAAAATTAAAAATTGGTTTTATTTCCAAGGTGGTGCTTTATGACATAGATGCAGCTTTTGGTAAATGGGGTATTTAAGGTAGTCCGTTACAAATAATGTACTCTTACTGTTGGGGTCTGAGCTGAAACCAGGACAAGATAGTAGTTTTGGAATGTTTACAATGTCTTTGCAAACCTGAAGGCATTTAAACACAGACTTTTTGCTTTCCATTTTCATTGGATTGGCTGACAGTTGCTTATCTGACAGGTGGAAATTTGTTTAACTGGGGTAACAGTTCAGTGTCATCCTTTTACCTATATACACAACAAAACTTTTCAGGGAAGTTTTCCATTTATCCTTTTAGACTTCATTCATGCATCATTTGTTAGACCTTCCGCTAATGAATACTTGAGGTTCTTGGAGAACAGAGACATTACTCTTTTTAGAAATGCCAGAAGTGGTGCAGCTCCAATGGCAGATGTGAGCTGTTCCCCTGCACTGCCCCATTGCCTGTGCTGTATTTTGCACACACTGTAACCTGAAGCTGGATAAGATCTCACTTTAACTCCCTGATCACTGTTTTCTTCTCTTTCTTTTTATACTTGACAGATACTCGAGTTCAAGTGTACTCAAATTTTCTTCAAGTTGTTTTCTTTCTTTCCTGTCGTTGCCTCTTGGCGCTGAGAACTTTCAGCTCAACTGGAAGCTGTGGTCACAGACTCCCAGTGAACAACCTCATGGAGTTTGTGAATTATTTTTATAATTAAAAAGATTCTGGGACTCCAGAAGTTGTACAGAAATCAGGAACAAAAGAGTTTCTCCCTGTGAAGCTTTTCTGTGTAAAAGATAAAAACTTTACAGGAGTTTGCCTAAGACTGGATAGATTGCCACGTGAATGGAGGCTCACTGCAAATGTCTGTTGCCACCAGTGTAACTCAGGACATCCCTCTGCCTGTTCTGAAGTGAACGTAGGAGCGGGTTCACCAGTAATTCACTGCCAAAAGCAGCAATTCAACATGCTGGTTGTTTGGAGCTACCATGCGTCCTTGTAGCATGACTAACGAACAAAATACCGCACACTGTGGTGCAGCCTTGCCTCTGCCTTTGGAGCGCAGCTTCCTGCTGCTTCTGTCAGGCTCCCAGATATGGACCATTTTAAAACTATGGGTTTGAATGAGTTTGCATTTCTTGTATAATGTTCATATGAGCTCTGCTGAAAACTCGTCACCAAAGAACTCTGCAAAATCATACAAAATTGCCCTTACACAATCATACTGTGTTTAAGCTGTGTATTAATGTTCTTCAGTGTTCAGCTTTCCTATTAAAAAAAATAATCATACCACTTATTGTATAAACAAATTTGCATATTAAGCATTAATTTTGTGACAAGTGGAGTTCTGTAATCCCACGGAACAGTCGTGTGTGAAACTTTTAATTCCTCAAAGGTATTCTGCTCTTACCAAGTCAGAGTTACTGCATGCGTGTAAATTACCACCACTATACCCAGAGCAAGCTCGTACAAATTAATGTCTCTGAAGTATTTTATAGAGACTGTTGAGCAGGCTGCTGCTGTTCCTTAAATTACTGCTGTTTCCATAGGCTTGAATTTAACGTAGAACAAGATAAAGAGTCAGACCTTGTTTCTGTCTGTCAGGTATGGAGACGGGTCCTGTGATGTTCTTCAGTCCAACAACTGCTTTTAGAGACGGTGGCGAGTGGCTTTTCCGCAGTGGTCATTCCTGAGCATATTGGAGGCATTTTCCTTGGGTGATGTGGTATCCCATGCGGGATTTTTAACACTGTGGTCTCAAGTTGTATTCATATTTCTGTTGGAAGATACCAATGTCACACTGGACTGTCAGCTACTTCCTACTTCTAGAAATAACATCTTACCTATTCCAGATACCAGCAGTGTGTTTTGGTTTCTGAACTCCCTTATCATCTACAAAATGCGCTGTCGTCTCATCGAGGTAATAGGTGTTATACCACCAAAACTATATTATTTGAATTCACATCCTGATGCTGATTTTTTCTTGGGCTTGTTTATCTGATCTCTTTGATTGCCTAGCAATGGTCGATATTGGAGAAGGAGATCACAAAAGGGTAAAGGTCTGAAGTTAAGAGCTGTTACTGTCTGTTTCTGGTTTTGTGTCATTGAGTAAGCCATCTTTTTCCTTCCAAGTGCTACC